CAGGGGGTAGCTTTGCTATGCTAAAAACACCTCAAACATATAAGCATGAACATCAAACAGTTCACATCATGACACTCCAATGGATGGGTTTTCCCCAAGCCCCCACAATGCGGGTCTGAAATTGAGGCCAACGCGGAAGCGAAATAAATTGCAGTTCCACCCTCATCCACTAGGGTCTGGTGTCAGAAGCGAGCAAATCCTCATAGACTCCCATGTTAAAAAAATACCAATTTCACAGCAGAAATAAACATGTTTACATCCTAGTACCAAAACATGTTTTAGGTTTAATTGATCTGGTTTACACTCATGACAACTCTGAGAAGGGTGAATTTTTTTGTCACTCTTCTGTTTAAGTGTATTAAAAGCCTAAAATTTTGTATAATTAATGAGCATCAGACCCACGTGACCACTAGCTAGCTCAGTGGAAAGGCCTCAGTCTGAGCCTCGGTCTCGACTGAAAACTGTTCCGCGATTTTGAGTCTCTGAACTTAGACCATTAGTTGTAGCGTTTGTGTATTCTTTTTTGGATATTATTTGTGCAATTGTTGGACAAAATGACTTGCCGTGGTATTAATTGCACTAATAGAGCATCCAAGGAGTCTCCACTTCATTTTTTTTTTCAGTAAGTAAAATTATATTTATGTATTTATGGTCACTGCTGCTCTTGCACTAGCTGAGCTTAGATTTTAACATGTACTGTTTAACCATGAAATTTAAATGTAATAGGGTAAAACCCAGTGAATTGAAAATAACGCTGCATTTTAGAAAATGGGTTGAAATATAACATGTTGGTGGAGCTGGCTTCCGACTATCGGTATGGTCCCCTCCCAGCAGCTCGGCGCATCTCAGATCGCAGCGGTGCTTGTCTGCTGTGTGGCTGCCAGCTTGTGGAGCTCTCGGGAGACCTCTGTGTTCCACCCGGTTTTACCCAGCGGTCAGCCCGGCGTATCTCTGACTCAGAAGCTCTGGTGTTGTGCACAGTTAACTCTGGTTGTAGCTAGGTTGCTACCTTCGTTAGCTTAGCTCCCACCTCCGCGTTAGCTTTAGGTTAGCTTCAGGTTAGCTTAGAGCTACATTAGCTTCAGTTCAACCAGGTGTCGTCATTTGATCCCAGCCTTACAGCCCCACCCTCAGCTCCACCTCTCTTCCCTTTTGTGGAATTGTCTGGGCTTGACGGAACCTGTGACACGGTCAAAATGGTGGTGGTGGCCACCTCCCATTTTTCTTCAAAAATGTGTTATTGGAGACTATGGAAACCCATTGTCCATATATATATATATATATATATATATATATATATATATATACATATACATATGTATATGTATATATATATATATATATATATATATATATATATATATATATATATATATATATATATATATATATGAATTTGTGTCTGCTTCATTGACTGTGAATTGCAAACTGCCACATTTACTGATTGCCATAGCAAGGAACTGGCCATGTTATTCATTGCTCTGATTGGTCCTAGTGCTGTCAAATAACAAGCAGAGACAGTTTGAAAGACAACCTTAGATTCTGCCTCCTGACTGAGATCTATCTATGGGTCGTGGCCAAACTATGTATCTACATGCATAGGATGGCTTGCCAGGATAGTACGATAACGTATTGCATCATATTTTATTGGATCATTAGATATTATATCATATTGTACCATATCCTGCTGTATCATGTCAAACTTATCGTCATTGTATCATTTACCATATTGTATTGTATCACATTAACCCTCTGGAGGCAGGCATTGCAGATTTGCAACGTTAAAACCTACCTACCTGGCTACTCCACATACATATTTCATGAGCATTTTTGAACTCAGAAGTACCCCTGAAGGACTTAGTTGTTCGTCCTTTTATCAAAACTTATTTTGAGCCAGAGAGGGTTAAATCATTTCCATTGTAAAAACTCCTGAGTTAATTTTTTTTCTCCATCATGGCAAACCAAATTTGGGAAAACATTGCCAAGTAGATCAGAAATAAAAATTAAAGTGCCCATTGATTATAGTACAAGAAAACTAGTTATCCAATCTTTAGAAGAGTTAAAACGGTGATGAATAGTTGGACTGAAAGTAAAAGTCACGGGAAAATGTTTAAAACACATTCAGCTCATAGTAAAGAACTGCTACCTGAAATTATTGGTCTCCACATTTGTGTTATTACCTGCCAAAAAGGCCAGGATCACCAAATCAAAGAGTGTAATGTCATTTCTTATGCTACTGTAAATAGTGACCACTTCCTCTTGCTGCTGCTTTAGTTACCCAACCCAGCTTGGTCAAAAATAGCAGCGTGAGACACAGAATAAGACTTTGTCAAGTCACCTGAGAGACTTGTGACTGATTAAAAGTTTAAACACGCCTTCTGTGTGATTCAACAAGGGTTTTTTTGTCCAAGTGAAATTTGTGAAAAAAGTTGTAGTCGCGTAGAAATAAAAGGACAAATCCTTGCAATGCATTATGATGTCCTACTATGATCAAGACCAACCAGAGACCACATTCTTTTACTAGCACCAGATGAAACTCACTGACTATTAAAACTGTATCATGTAGACCCAAGTAATTGGGTTTTCCCTTCTGCTGCTCCTCTTCTTCCCACCCGTGTAGCTGGACTATAACAGTGAGTCTTTATGTGTCCAGTGGAGCTCCGTGGGTGAGTCAGACCCAGAAAAGACTCATTCAGGGGTGAAGTTTAAACACCAAGACCTCCGTGTCTCACTAGGATAGAGACAGAGGTGGAAAATCAGACCTTTAAGGGCCTCAAAGCTGAAATTCAACTCTTACCAGAAACTCAGACCCTGTATAATCATAGATGGGTAGCTCGCAAAATAAAGATATTTTTCTACAGTGGCCGGTAATCCATATGAAAGTGAACATAAATTCACACCAAAATGGCGATTTATAAGTTTCCTATTGCCAGCATTTGTTTGTGGACGCTAATTACCGCGGATTTAGGCTACGCAACTTTTCTGCCCGTGACAAAAAGCTCCGACATCACATGTGCGACCTGCGTTTACACACACTTACTCAACAACTGCTCGATGTAGAAGACAATAGGCAAAGGACAACATCAAGGACAATTATTGCCTGCCATGTTGTCCCACATCCAAGTGTGACAGTGTGAGTGTCCTGTCACAGTGTCTCGATTGATCATGCGCCCTGGCTACTTGGCCAAGGGGATGTCCCTTTGGCTGACTGGTTAGAGCGTGTGACTCTCACCCGGGAGTCTGGGGATCGAATCCCGCCTGGGCCCTCGTTTATCCACCTTGCCACACAAGGAAGGTTTTTTTTTTTTGGCAAAGACACCAATGATGTGGGGAACCACTGCCTCCTACAGGCTTGGCATGCCTATGAATGTGCTTCTCAATGCACTGAAAACAAAGTGGTGTGGATCCAAGTTTTTTTTACTAGATCGGCGGGGGAGGATACTCGTTTTACTAAATCCTGGCTATGTGTGTGCACATAGCCTAGGCCACTCTGGGTGAGCACCGTGGAGACAACAGAAACCTACAGATCTAATAGGTTTGGCTCCTCTGATCTAAATCAGTTCATAAGTTTGTTTATTCGTACCTTTTCTCGAAGGTTTGTCACATGATACACAACTTCTGACTACGTCAGACCATTCAATTTGCTGATCGGTAAGATGTTTTGAGGGCGGGGCTACCAGAAGTAAATAAAGGAAAACGCATCTGTGTTCTGAGCGTGAGCCAGTTGACATCATGAAGACTTTTGTTTCCTCATCGCATCTTGGTATGTTTTTTCTGTTTCACACCCCAGACCAGGGTTAGGGTTAGGTCAGCGTAAAAACACCCTAACACATCCTCAGAATAACAAACAGTCGTAATTGTAAAACATCAAAAATGCCACAAGAAATGTTTTTATTGAATGCATTTGACAAAAATAAAAAGCAGATCAGCTGTAAAGCAATAATGACACGGTCAGGGTGTGGTTGTTCATTATTTAGGTCTTTGAGTTTTCCATAAGAGAGGGATGAGAAAGAGGAGGGAGGGGGGTGATGAAGCAATGACCGATACATGAACAAGAAGAGGAGAGTTTGACTCTGAGGTTTGGAAGCGTCTCAGAAGAAATTCCCAGTTAAATTACTGACTGACGCTGTTGCTCGGCTGGAGACATTAGCTGAGGTTACCCAAGGCCCGGAGAGAAAAAAGTCAGGGACACTCCCTGTCTTCTCTTTTTCCTCTGTTAACCTTCTTTTCTGCTCAAACACCTGAATCCAAATTATCCCAAACAAGCTGATTTTACTGTGCAAGAACACCGCAAAGCAGGTAACCTTTTCAAGTTGAGTAAACACCTGAACCATAAAAAAGAGATGTGAGCATGAGAAGTATGAAATATGAAAGCGGTTTCAGGTTTAACTGGGCTTGCAATTGCCTCCTTTTTTTTTTTAGCTTAAAAGACAGCCAGTGCAGGCGAGGTTGTGTGGGAGAACTGTGGAGCAAAGCCGCTGGCCCTGGTTCAGATGTCAAACCGGCACCGTGGTGAAACGGGTTTCCAGGGGAAAGTCAGGTCAAACTTTAGCTCGGTGACCAGTGAGCCCGAAAGACAATACTCCAAAATACCTCATTAAGTTACAGAAACTGGAATTAACCTTAACCTCTTTTGGGGGGTTTCCTCAGTTTCTGTTGAAACCTGAACAGGACTAATATTGAACTATTTGAGTTTAATAATTGGAGATCTGCCTTGTTTATACAAGTGATGTAACTCCTTCAGGCTACAAGATCCCAGAAAACACGGCGAGACGTTGTCAGTGTGGAATGTGTTTTTGTTGCAGCTGCAGAACAACTTCCTGAACTTGTAGTCCTTGTCAAAGTTTGTACCGAACAGTTCCCTGGACCTGGTTCGTCAGCACGCTTCAGCTGACACTCACAAAGCTTTCTCCTGTTTTTGATGTGTGATCTGCGCTTTGTTATGGTTTTATCTAGTTTAACGTCTAACAGCTTTCTCCTTTTGTCTTGTTTTGCTGCAGTCGTGGCTTCAACAGTATGGTTACCTGCCCCCGGGGGACTTGAGGACCCACACCCTCCGCTCACCTCACTCTCTCTCCTCAGCCATCGCCACTATGCAGAGGTTCTACGGCCTCACTGTGACCGGTTCCTTTGATGATAAAACCGTTGAGTGAGTACCACACATAATCCTTACCATGTGAACATTTTTAGCAAGACATAGAGAATACAACAAGTGAGTTTCCTAGCCTTTTTGCAAGCGGAGTGGCTTTCATCTTGCAGGGCCATGGCTCGACCCCGCTGTGGCGTGCCAGATAAGTTCGGAGCTGAACTGAAGAGCAACCTGAGGAAGAAGCGTTACGCTACGCATAACCTGAAATGGCAAAAGAATGAAGTCACTTTCTCGTAAGTCAGCAGAGCCGAGTGACGAAACCTCATTTACTGAGTCAAATTGTGGTTTAGTAAGATTAACAGCCTTGTGTTTCCCACCCTGTGCATTTTTAGCATACAGAACTACACCCCGAAGGTGGGTGAGCACGAGACCCACGAAGCCATTAGGAAGGCCTTCAGGGTGTGGGAGGGCGTCACCCCCCTCCGCTTCAGGGAAATTCCCTACAGCTACATACGGGACAAGGTGGAGGAGTTTGCCGACATCATGATCTTCTTCGCAGAAGGTTTCCATGGTGACAGCAGCCCATTTGACGGCGAGGGGGGCTTCCTGGCACACGCTTATTTTCCTGGCAGTGGCATCGGCGGAGACACCCACTTTGATGCAGCCGAGCCGTGGACTACCGGGAACCAGGACCTGCATGGTTAGACTTTTTGTTGCTTCAGTTATTCTTTTAAGTGTGATGACACACAACAAGCCTGAATGTTGGGAGTTGCTCACAGGTTTGGAGTCTTGGGTTTTTTATTTTGCTGTCACAAGCAAAACCTGGGTCAGGCCCAGACTCGTATCCGGCAGAGAACTGAGTAGCTCTGGGCTTATTTTTGAATCGAAGCAGCCACAGACATTAGTGGTGTCAGCTTTTTGGGCCGTCTTCACATGACCTTCAGCTCATTTTATTTAGATTCAGCGATGTGTAAGATAAGGTGCTTTTGAGTCACCGAGATGGGGAAAGAGCAGTGCTCCTCCTTTAGTCTCAGCAGCATAAAACCTTACTCTTGTTTTCCGAAAATTGTTATTAAGCGTTTTTGGCAATGATGCTGTTTCAGGTAATGATGTCTTCCTTGTTGCGGTTCACGAACTGGGTCATGCTTTGGGTCTGGAGCACTCAAACGACCCGTCAGCCATCATGGCTCCCTTCTACCAGTGGATGGATACAGAGAACTTCCAGCTTCCTGACGATGACCGTAGAGGCATACAGCAAATCTATGGTCAGTTCAAGTTTCTGTCTCTAATAAACACACTGACTTTCTATTGAATTAATCACTATCTTCTGTTCACACAGGGTCTGGATCAGACCTTGCACCCCCTCCTCTAACACCACACACACCTGAACACAAGCCCCAGCCCACTTATGCACCAGACAAGCCCCACTTTGGTCCTGACATCTGCGATGGACACTTTGACACAATCGGCATCTTCAGAGGAGAAATGTTTGTGTTCAAGGTAAACTCGCTGCAGAACGTTATGGCTGCTTTAATCCTGCTTGCCCAGTGGGTCGATGTTCAGCGTCATTTAAATCTTTTTACAGGATAAATGGTTCTGGCGAGTGCGTAACAGACGTGTGCTGGATGGATACCCCATGCCGATTGGCCACTTTTGGAGGGGTCTGCCAACTGATATCAATGCTGCATTTGAAAGGGAAGATGGGAAATTTGCTTTTTTTAAAGGTCAGACTGACTTCCATTAAACAAATAGAAAAACTTTTTCTGCTAATACACAAACAGCATAAAAATGTTTGGCCCTTTCTTCTGTCTCTTCACAGGAGACAGGTACTGGGTCTTCAGTGAATCCATTCTAGAGTCCGGTTACCCCAAGAACCTTAAAGAAATGGGCACCGGAGTCCCCAAAGACCGGATAGACGCTGCTCTCTACTACACGCCCAACGGAAAGACATTTTTCTTCCGAGCTAATAAGTTAGTCATCAACTCCCAGCATCACTTCTTTTTAAAAAAAAAAAAACTAAAATAAACCTAAAAGGAACTGCAATTCTTACCCTGCTGCATCTCTTAGTAAACAAATATAATCATGACTGTTGGTCATCAACGAAGAGCCAGCGGCTAAAAAAAGTGGAAGTGTCTGTTTGACACGATTCTACAAAACCAACGAGCAACTTTTGTAAATGAAGTTTTGCAAAGATCCACTGAGTTATAAAACAAGCAAAACAAGTTATTCCACTGGATCATATTTTACTGAGTCGCGTTTTGTCCCACAATTAAATCTTAAACTTCAGGTTCAGAAAGCCAGATCCAAGTCTGACAATTTTTGAAGGGAAAGGGCGAGTCCTTAGGATTAGCTCTGTACTCAGTCGTAGGCCTCAAACGATGGTCATTGCTAAGTTTCCAGTTGGTTGGTTACCAACGTAACCACAGTCCTCTGTTCCTTTACTAATCTTCCTTGCGTGTGATTTTTTTTCCTTCAGATATTATCGTTTCAATGAAGAAATGCAGCGAGTTGATGATGATTACCCAAAATCCATCAGTATGTGGCAGGGTGTGCCTGACAACATCAAGGCTGCCTTTATGAGCAAAGACCAGGGTAAGGATGAGTCTAAGCCATACAACCCATAGCGTTGTATCACAGTGGCTTGTCCACACTCACATTTATATTCCACTCTTCTGTCATCAGCCTATACCTACTTCTACAAAGCCAATAAGTACTGGAAGTACGACAACCAGAGGATGCGGGTGGAGCCTGGATACCCAAAGTCCGCCCTGCGTGACTGGATGGGCTGCTCTAACGAAGATCCCAAGACGGACGGAGGAAGAGGCGGGGCTGGACATGACAAAGACAAGGAGAGAGAAAAGGAAAAGGAGCGGGAAGATAATGACAGAACGACGTATGAAGAAGGGGACACGGCTGAGGAGACAAAGACGGAAGATGTGGATGTGACCATTGTTGAGACAAGTAACGAGAGTGGAGCAGTTGCTGTGGTTGTGCCGATGTTTCTCCTAGTGTGCGTGATTGCCACGTTGGCAGCTCTGGTGTTTTTCCGTCTGTACGGTACCCCACGCCGAATCCTCTACTTCCAAAGATCGCTACTAGACAAGGTGTAGGTAGAGGAGAGGGGTCGGAGGAAGAGGAAAGATGAAAAAGAGAAAAAGAGGGAAATGATAAAGACAGATAGACAAGCAGAAGTGTGAGACTGTCACTTTAATATCCTCACCGTTGTTTGATCATTTAACTTTTGTTTCTCAACCACTCAGTCCTTCAGATTCTTCCCTTTGTCTCTGCTCCTGCTCCGCTCCGGCGGTAACCGACGCCAGCTCATTGCTGTTTGTTTTAGCCCTTTTCAGTGTCTCATTGCTTCAGTTGTTGATGGTGGTCAGCGTTTGTGTGCTTGTGAATTTCCAAATCAAACCAGCATTTCCACAATGCAGATCCATGCACATTTTTTGGGGGGGTGTGAGCAATTGATGTGTCCATTACCCCACCCCCACCCTGTCCTCCCCCCTTGATAAGTTGCACATACTCACACAAACACACACTCTTGAAAACCGCAGTGACACAGTTGCAGTGTTTCCAGTAAAGCAGCGAGTCAGCCATGCTCGCGTCTTTACGGAGCGTGATTCACGCGTATCAGAGAAAAACAATAAACACACCTGCTATTCCCTCTTTTTTGTACCTGTCTGTCTGCTCTGGTCGTTGCTATGAATGATGTCGTTAACATTATGACTATTATTGTTGTTCTCAGAGTAAAGAATGTTTTTGTACATTGCCTTTAAAAAGTCCTGCTGGACAGAGACATAAACATTTTGAAAATGGCCTTAATTTTATACGTGTGGGGACAGTGAATGGGGAAAGGGGTTATGTATTTTTGAAACTTGATTGTTTTTTATACCTTGAATCACTTTCAAATTAAAATAAATCTACGATCTTTAAAAAAAGGCTCCTTTTGTACTTATTTTTGTACTTGAAGCGTTTTGAATGACGGTGCTGCCTTGTTAGTCAGGCCCTCTGAGTAGTTTAACAACAATAATACAAGTGATGATGATGACGACGATAATAACCATCTGGTCTTCTCGGTAAAACTGTGTGTAATTCCCTTTTCCTCTAAGTTCTTACAACAATAAAGTCATTTGAAAAGGTTTTATGTGCTCTGATTTTCACTCAGATTAATTACGTTTTACTCTGAAATGGTAAAAAAGATCCAGTTTTTAGCAGAGCTCTCCAGTTTTATCACTTGCATCGATCGTGTCCCTTTTCCATCTGGTCTTCTCCAGTCTCCCTGGACCTCCAGGTTTCTTGTTCCCCGACCGCACCGCTGCGTTACTGGGGCTCAGAAACTGGCAGGCCCTAAACTGGGTCGGAAAAAGCAGACTGAATCCAAAGCTTAAGTAGAAACAGGGATGAAGATGACTGTATAAACCCATTGCTGCACAGCAGGAAAACATATCTAAACTATACAGTATGTGTGCTTTTATTCTTGTTTCACTATGTTTGTGGGGACCACATAGCTCAACGAGCACAAGTTCATGAAGACATTCAGATTGAACGGATAATTTTCTTTTCCTTAATAATGAAGCTGACAATCAGTAAATAAGTTTATTTTTTCATAGTAAGTAAATGTGTGGAAGTTCTCACAAATATGGAAATGCAAATGTAATTTAAAAACAAATCAGTTGTTTTTTGCACTTTACACAGTGTGTGTGTGTGTGTGTGTGTGTGTGTGTGTGTCCTATGAGCCAATAAAATCTTCAACTGCAAACTTAGGCGTCTCCCCTACTCTTTAATGATCCCACTCCCTGAACTACTACCAGATACGTGTTATAGTTGCCGTTAAAGAGGTGGTGGGCGGGGTTCAACGCCCCTATGATATGCCATGATTACTAAAATGAGTCTTCATACAATCATCATGATGAGGTATTTCCCCGTCGTGCCAGAAAAGAAGTAGGGCACCCGTTTGTTTTTGCTGTGCTGCAGTGTTTTGAAGAGAATAGTCACGAGGCTTTATTTGGGGAGGAGGGTGGGGGGTTAAGTCACATTTGGAGGCCAGAAGTGGAGCAGAACTCCACGAGCAACATCTGGAATTCCGACTGCATCATGTGAGCCAGACACACAGCAGGATACAGCGATGAGCTGCTGGGGGATGGGAGTCAGCTTGGATTTATTTAAATGCTGTTTTTACTATCAACCAAAAACGAGTTGTGACGTTTTTACTCCCATTTTATAATAATCTTTTGCACGTAAAAGAAATCCACCACAAACTTTTTCTCGGTCTCTGTCTCCCACCACCACCCAGTGGGTTCAGGCAAGTCAGACGATTCACTGTGGGTCATTATTGGGCCTTTTCTGTCTCTCCCAGCTGACTCTGCAAAGTGGAGAAAAGAATAGCTTCAGCATTATTCTTTCCCACAGTCCTTGCTCCTCTCTGTAACTGGAGAGCTTTTCTTCACTGTCCGGCAAATTACCGTTCTTTTTCTCCCACAGAGTCTAACAAAAGACCGCACCACAATGTTCGGCCTTCTTCTAGCCATCTCCACCACCTCCAACCAGATGCAACAAGGCTATGCAGCTGGGAATAAAATATAAGTTAATCAAACTTCTTGCAAAAATACTTTAAATTGGATTGTAGAATTAGATTTAAAAATAGGGAAGGGCCGATTGGAAACTGAGATGAAAACTTTCTGCAGTTTGTTGAAACAAAACATTCTTGTTTTGTTCTGAGTTCAGAACCAAGTTAGTAGTTTTGTTTGTCAAATATTTTTAATAAATGACAAGTCTGAGCTGCAGACTACCATCCAGATTACCATCTGGACCTGGTTTATAACACAACCAGAAAATAAATAAATAAATAAATAAATAAATAAATAAATAAATAAATAAATAAATAAATAAATAAATAAATAAATAAATAAATGAGTGAGAAAAAACTGAGAGGTGCCGAGCAGGAGTGGGCGCAGACTCCTCCTTTGTTTAATTCTGCACAGAGAAAGGGTCTGGGCCCTCTCATATTCAAATAACCCCGCCCCCTGAGAATTGTAACCAAGCCAATCAGCGCTGAGTAGCGTATGTCACACAGCGGTATGTCGAGTTCAAACGGGGACTGACCTGTGGAGGTAGAGGTGTGGGAGTTGTGAGCATATTCCATCCATGACAGTTGCTTACTCAAACCAGCGGGGTTCTAGGCGCAGAAACATCGAAGCATAGCCTCTAGTTACTGGTTCATGCGTTCCACTTGGCCGTTGGTCTGCGGGTGAAATCCAGAGGTGAGGGAGACCCGAGCCCCCAGGTGATTAGCAAACTCTGTCCAGATGCGGGATATGAACTGGGGACCTCGGTCCGACGGGATCTTGGTTGGAAGGCCATGTAAGTGGAACACATGCTTTATGAGCAGGTCAGCGGTTTAAGCAGAGGACGGAAGCGACCAGTGGAACTAGATGACGGGCCTCAGAAAACCGAACAACAATGGTGAGTATGGCGGTGAAACCCCTGGAGGTGGGAAGGCCAATTACAAACTCCAGGGTGATATGAGACCAGGGATGAGGAGGAACCGGCAGGGGCTGGAGAAGGCCTTGAGGAGACTGGTTATTGCTTTTGTATCTGGCACATACCTGGCAGGCGCTGATATACTCTTTGACATCCTTATACGTGGACGGCCACCAAAAGGTCCTTCGGATGAGGGTTATGGTTCTGCCAAGGCCAGGATGGATGGAAAATCTTGCCGTGTGTGCCCAATGTATCAGGGATCTGCGGGTACTGGAAGGAACACAAATCTTGTGTGGTGGAACGGTACTTGGATCTGGTTCCAGACGTTGAGCCTCCAGTACTTTGTTGGTTATGTCCCAAGTGATAGAGCCAACTACGCAGGAGGCGGGTAGGATGGTGGTGGGTTCCACTTCTCTATCCGAAGCGTACTGGCAAGAGAGGGCATCCGGCTTGACGTTCTTTGAATCGGGTCTGAAAGAAATGATAAAGTTGAAGCGGGAGAAAAACAATGACCAGCGGGATTGACGAGGGTTCAGTCTCTTAGCCTCTTTAAAATATGCCAGGTTCTTGTGGTCGGTCCATATGATTATGGGGTGTTACAAGTGACGCCACTCCTCCAAAGCCATATTTATGGCCAGCAATTCATGGTCTCCCACGTCATAGTTTTGTTCGACAGGGGTGAGACGACGGGAGAAAAAGGCGCAGGGATGGAGGCAGTGATCTGTTGGAGAGACCTGAGAGAGAACGGCACCCACCCCAGTGTCTGAGGCATCGACTTCCAGGGTGAACTGTAATGAGGTGTCCGGGCGTGTGAGTATGGGTGCTTGGGTGAAACTGATCTTGAAGGCGTGGAATGCCTGATCAGCCTCCTGGGACCACAAAAAGGGTCTTTTGACTGAAGTGAGTTGTGTGAGAGGCGCGGCTATCTGGCTGTAGTTCCTAATGAAGCGGCAATAAAAGTTAGCAAAACCTAGACATCGTTGCAGCTGCTTACATGTAGATGGGGTTGGCGATGTCTAAACTGCGTCGACCTTGTCAGGAGCCGTCTTGAGCCATCCACTCTCCAAAAAAAACCAAGGAACTTGATGGAGGATGCATGGAACTCACATTTCTCGGCCTTGACGTATAACCGGTTTTCGAGTAGTTGTTGGAGCACAGCTTGGACATGTTGACGGTGTTCTGCGAGTGATCTGGAAAAGATGAGAATATCGTCCAGGTAAACAGTGACAAACTTGTTAATATAGTCACCTAAGACGGAGTTGACCAGGGATTGGAAGACTGCAGGAGCGTTTGTAAGTCCAAATGGCATGACCAGATACTCGAAGTGACCAAGTGGTGTCTTGAAGGTCATCTTCCATTCATCCCCCTCACGGATTCTCACCAGGTGGTATGCATTGCGCAGATCTTGCTTGGTGAAAATAGAGGCATCATTAACAGGTTCAAATGTTGATGAAAGCAGAGGCAGGGGATACTTGTTTTTGATGGTGATCTGGTTTAATCCTCTGTAGTCGATACATGGGCGGAGAGAGCCATCCTTCTTGGACACAAAGAAGAATCCGGCACCCAGAGGGGACGTGGAAGGCCTTATGATTCCTGAAGACAGGGACTCAGAAATATATTTCGACATGCACTCTTGTTCTGGTTTGGAAAGACTGCATAGTTTACTTATCGGCAGGGTGGCATCGGCTACGAGATCAATCCCGCAGTCATAAGGGCAATGAGGAGGCAGGGAGGACGCACGGCCCTTGCTGAATACCTGCTGAAGGTCGTGGTACTCGGAGGGAACTCCAGTCAGATCAGGTGGCTCCTGAGTCAGGGTCTCGGCGTTCTCGACGGGAAGAGGAGCTGAGAGGAGGTAGTGGGACAGACAAAATGCACTCCAAACTGAAACCAGTCCAGTCCTCCAATCAATGTGGGGGTTATGAGAAGCCAGCCATTCGTGTCCTAAGACGACTGGGGACTGTGGAGAGAGAAATACATAAAGGCTTAAAGTTTCGTGGTGATTACCAGAAATCAACATGTTAAAAGGAACGTGCGATGGGTTGTGCAGAGGTCACCACTGGCCACTAGGGTGTGCTGTGATCAAACCTCGAGGGAAAAAGGTGTATTCAGGTACGTGCCTGAAGTCACGTACATGTTACCATCCCTTCAGGGACGTGCCTGATATCCCTGCCTGTACATACTTCTCATTTGTATTGCTGCTACTCAACCATCACACTGCTGTCATCCATGCTACTGTTTGACTTGTATCTGTAAGTCTTCACCTGCTTGTTAAGCTAATGTAATGGTCACATTGTCAGTATGCATGCTAAGCCGCACTGCATTTGTTTACTTATTTTATCGCGTAGCTTAGCCTTGGCCTTCAGCCCATGCTGCTGCTTCACGCTGCTGTTAGCTTCTGCTCACTCAGCTTTGTATGTCGCCGCAGGGCTCCTTCATCCTTGTCAATAAAGCCATTAGACATCGAGGAGTGTATTTCTTCACGAAGGAGCCATGGTGGTCGTCAGATGCTCCGTTCCAGGCAGCACGTTCACCACCGACGACGTGTCCAAGGCTCTCGCCATGGCGCTGCTGGCAAACCATGGCCTGGCCCATCGGAGCCAGACCGAACCAGCTGCGCCCGTTCTGGCCCCAGGCCTGCTTAGCCCTAGGCTGGATTG